GAGGGAGGGAGGGAGGGAAGAAGAAGGGGAGGAGGGGGAGAGGGGGGGAAGGTAGAGCAGGACACCTCGCAATCCGAGACGAGCGGCGGCGGCGAGGGCGTGGGAACCCAGGATTTCGGAGGCCCACACGCCCGCACTCCCACACACGGGCACGCCGCACCGGTAGCGCAGGCGCCCCCGCAACTTTCCGAGGCAGCCGCAGGAAGCCTTCAAGCACACAAACAAGTCTTGTGGAAAGACAAGGAGGTAATCAGAGCAGACGCCGGTACACCACACGTCACACCGGCGGGGGGGAAGGGAGAGGGGAGGGGAGAGTGAGAAGGGGGGAGGGGAGAATGAGAAGGGGAGATGGGGAGAGTGAGGAGGGGGCAAGGGAAGGAGAGAGTGAGGAGGGGGAAGGGGAGAGAGGAGGGATGAGGGAGGGCGGGGGGGGGGGGGGAGCAACCGACACTCGAGAACGGGTACGATTGCATGCCTGGCAGGGTATCATCTTTCCACACATGCCATTAATAATGCATGACTCGGCAGGATTCATTGACGCATTCTCGCCGGGAAGCCACAGGGGGTCGCCCGCGCGCCTCGCCGACCCCCCTCCCTTCTCAGACCCCCCCCCCCCCAATAAAAAGGCCCTGCGAAGTTGAATGCAAGGCCCAGATTCCGGGGCGTCAGGGAAGGAAGCCTGGATGGAAACCCCGACAGAACCTCCCGACGGATCTCTTGACGGAACCCTTGAACGGAACCTCCCGAACGGAATCCCCCGTTAGAACCCCCCCCCCCCACGGAACCCTCGCACGGAACCCCCCAAGACGGATGGAGTTCTTCGGGATCTGAGGTCACGGTCATTACCATACGACACGGGGGGGGGGGGGGATCCGTTATTTGGGGCGGACTTAACCACGAGGGGGAGAGGGGGAGGGGGGAAGAGACAGAGAGAGAGAGAGAGAGAGAGAGAGAGAGAGAGAGAGAGAGAGAGAGAGAGAGAGAGAGAGAGAGAGAGAGAGAGAGAGAGAGAAGAAGAGAGAGAGAAGAGAGAGAGAAGAGAGAGAAGAGAGAGAGAGAGAGAGAGAGAGAGTGAGAGAGAGAGAGAGAGAGAGAGAGAGAGAGAGAGAGAGAGAGAGAGAGAGACAGAGAGAGAGAGAGAGAGAGAGAGAGAGAGAGAGAGAGAGACAGAGACAGAGAGCGACAGAGACAGAGAGCGACAGAGACAGAAAACAGAGACAGACCGACACACAGACAGACCTCTCTAACTCAAAGCAAAATCCCTCCCTTCCCAGCGAACCTCCCGGGCGCGAGAGCAAACCCCGGCCGCGCTTCCTCCTTCCTCCGGCCGACCTTTCCGCCCCGGCACGACCGCAGGAGAAAAAAGCACAAACTTGTAAAGTCACCCTCGAGGCCCCGTCCCACGACTCGGCGCCTGCAAGCACTCCGCCGCGGGTTCTTCCGACGGCCGCCTGAGACCGAGTTCGAGCGGCCGACTGCAAGCACGCCGGTGACAGAACGTGACATGACAGGGCTGGCACCGGTTGCAACGCGATAGGCTTATGGCACACGGCCGCTAGTCTGTATGTTTGCTTGTTTGTCTGGCTGTCTGCTTCTGTGTATCTGTGTGTCTGTCTGTCTGTATCTAAGCGTATCTGCGTCTTTCTATTTTCACTAATGTGTATCTTTGTTTGCATCTATACCTGTATGTTTGAATGCGTCTGCGCCTCATTTATGTCTTTATTTTTGTCTGAATGTGTCTGTCTGTCGCGTGTACTCGTCTGTCTCTCAAAAAAGCTGATTCGCGTAAGGCACCGCCCGCCAAGCCCCTACTCCCCGAACGCCCCTCCAGTACTCCTTCCCCGGGCGCCGTGCCATGCCCCTTGCCCCGTGCTGCAGGAGGCCCTCCCCGCCACGACGCCCCTCCGGCCGAAGGCGATAAGGAATCCGCTAATAACGAATGTGGATCCCAACCGCCCATTAACGTCCCCCCCCCTCCCCCACCTGCACCGTTTTAGACGACGCCGGAGCATCCACATCGCGTTCCATTTCTTTCTTCGCGGCCGCCGTCACTAGACTCCGCTCTTTTTTTCAATGGATTTGGTGCCGATTTCAGAGTGGATCGCTCCTTCTCTTTTCTTTAATCTCCTCTTATTGTGTCTATCGCCGTCGTTCTCTATCTCCCTGTCTGTCTGTCCGTCTGTCTAGCTGTCTGTGGGTATACCAATCCAGCGCTCTATCTATCGGTTTGTCTGTCTGTATATCAATCTATTGGTCAATCTATCTACCTTTCTGTCTATTCATCTACCAGTTTACCTGTAAACATATCTATCTCTGTCTATCTGTGTGACTGTCTATCTCTGTCTGTCTGTCTGTCTCCCCTCCTGCACTCCGGGAGCAAGACCTACGACCGGTAAATACGGTGCAACACCACTCTGCACCAACAACAGGCACCTGCACACAAGCAACGGCAAGCAATGAGCAAGCAACGCCCCACTCATCCTTCCTTCGCTCCCCCCCTCCTCCCTGGTCCCTCCTTCCCCCTATAACCCCCCTCCTCCCCCAGGTCTGTCTCTAAGGCTTCTTTGCGGGGTTAAAAATCACTTTCGGGGGTCATTATCA